TAGGAAAATTATAAAATATAATATAGAGCTAAAAATAAATATATACTAATATAGGAAAAAAAATAAATTCTATTACAGTATGAGAAAAAACAAGCATTAAAAAAAGAAAAAATAGATTTAAGTGAACCAGGCCAAAAAAACACAGAAGCATATCAGAAAAAAAAACAAGAAAAAAGACTAAGTTTTTATCAAGACATCTATAACTTTAGTAAGGAGAAGCCAAAGATGATTAAATCTGAAGTAAATAAATAAAAAAAGGAAAACAAAAAGAAGGAACAAGAAACAGTACAGAGAGAAAAGAAGAAACATCAATTATACAACAAATTGAAAACATCAAAACATATTGCAAGAAATATTAAAGAAACTTAGCAATTTGAACAACAGGCAGGTAAATCCTACTTATAGCTCCTGAAAAGTGCCTTAGTTGAATCAAAGAACTAGGGTACAGAGAGAACAAATGTTTCAGAAATAATAGAAAATGACAAAAAAGTTCTCTTTGACCAAGAAGTAATGTATAGAGAAGCATCATTAATAGATTCGATTAGAAAAAGCAACTTAAAACTGAACATTGTATGTCATAATATTAATGAAATGAAAAGTAATAATCATAAAATAGAATTAATATATGAATGGGTTTTGAACAATAAGATTGATATACTAGGTCTGGCAGAAACAAATATTAGCAAAAAAGAAGGTTTCTTCATTGCAAAAGATCTGAACAAATATAGAAATTTTTGGTCAGATTCAAGTGCAACAAAAAAAAAAGGCTCAGAAGTTGGAATACTAGTGAAAAAAAAATAAAAAAAACATCTTGGGCAAATAGATAAAGTCAATGAATATATGGGGCGTCAAAAGTAGAAACCAAGGAATTTCACTTTTTTTTGAAAATTAACCTGTCTGATAGATCAGGTGTAAAATTTAAAGCCCAATATTTTTTACTTAATAATGAAAGTCTTATCACTTAATAAATTTTTGCGATACGACGGTTAAAAGCTTTTGACGCTATAATCTAAAAATAGATTTACCAAGATTTACCGTGCAGATGTTGATTCACTATCTAATAGAGAATTTTCTAGATTATCATACTTGCGCCGGTACCTTTTTTTATATTATTATTTTTTTTGCTTTTGGTTGTGAAGTATAATTGCCGAATCTTCCTTTGTTGTTGTCACTTAGATTCCTTGGTCGTTATAGGGCCCTTCTTCAAGATTGGTGGCTCTTTCCATTATACACAAAGATCTTGGACTTCATTCTTAACGTATACTGTAGAAGAAGGTATTTGCGAAAATGAAATAGGTAAATATTCATTATTAAAGTAACTTACTGGTTTCTCTTTAGATTCGATATTCTTACAATGTAAAGTTTCTGAGTGCAAAGGATGAAAAGAAAGTATGAGTGGAAGTTTTGGGTCTTGCTGTCATTATGGCGTAGGCACTGTCACGGAGAAAGGAGAAAGAAGACATTGAGCGTATTTTAAATCTGCTGAAGGTAAGTTTTGATCTTGTTATCATAACCAGAAGCTGAATGCTACAAAGGGTTGAAAATATAATTTTTAGACGTGTTGATTTTAGAGTCCTTTCCGGTGGGCTTTTTGTTGGTGTGTTTTCGCGTCCATTGGCCATTAGATTTATCAGTTTGGTGGACTTTGCCGTCGAGTATTTGCAAACGCATTTTGCAAGAACACTACACTGACTACTTTAACGTTAATATGAGACTATAATGTTGGATATTGTTATGACGATGAAAAGTGGAGGTGAAAAGGATGAACATAAGAGATTGATCCATTTTCAAAAAATCCGCAGAGATAGGGAACGGGGAATGCTGATAGAACATACAAGCCCAGGTAAGAAAATTGTTGTTTTAATGTAATTGGAATTTGAAAAGAATGAACATAAAGCGTTCATCTATTATCCAAAAATCAGCAGGCATGAGTGGTATTAGTGGGATATTTAAAGATATCGTTATGATAAAGGAATTGGGGTTAAAAAATAAATAACTAAGCATTCATTCATTTCAAAAATTTGTAGAGATGGTGGATGCTGATGGAACATTTAAATCCAGATAAGAATTTATTAAATGGAATTAGATTTGAAAAGATGAACATAAAGCATTCATTTATTTTCAAAAATCCGCAGAGATTGAAATGTTGATGTAACCTATAATCAAGGTAAAAAAAAATTGTGTTAATGGAATTGGAGTTGAAAAAGATTAACATAAACATTCATCTATTATCCAAAATCAACAGAAATGGGTGACGCTAGTGAAACTGTTAATGTTGGATATTACTATGATGAAGGAATTAGAGTTGAGAGGATGAACAAAGGCATTCATTTATTTTAAAGAGTCTGCAGCGATAGAAACGCTGATGGAACGTATAACCTAGGTAAGAAATTTGTATTAATTTAATGGAATTGAAGGTAAAAAGAATAACATAAAGCATTCATATATTAGCAGAGATTGGTGACCTACTGGAACGATATTTTTATGACAAGGGTGTTGGAGTTGAAAAGGATATACAGAAGACATTCGATGAAGGAATTGGAGTTGAAAAGGATGAACATAAGGCATTCAACGAGGGAATTGGAGTTGAAAAGGATTAACATAAGGCATTCATTTATTTTCAAGAATCTGCAGTGATATAAAACGATGATGGAGCGCATAACCTAGATAAGAAAATCGTAATAATTTAATAGAATTGAAAACTTCATATATTATCAAAAATTGGCAGAGAAAGCTGACGCTAGTAGAACATTAATGTTGGATATTTTTATGATGTAGGTAAGATATTAGTTGAAGAGGGAATTGGAGCTGGCCCTATAAAAAGTCGATCTACGTTTTACATTCTATGCTGAATATCCACAAAATTTAACCTCAAATCATGGAGATTATTCAGCCTGTTTAGATTTTGTCATTTCATGTTGCAGATTCACAGAGTGTTCACAAGAAATAACAGAAATATTCAGAAAATTTTTTTTACAGGTTGAAAAGGATGAACATAAGAATAAGACTTTTATTTATTTTCAAGAATCTGCTGTGATAGAAAACGCTAATAGAATGCATAGCCTAGGTAAGAAATTTGTATTGATTTAATGGAATTTGAGATAAAAGGATGAGCATAAAGCATTCATATATTATCAAACATTAACTTTGGATATTTTTATGAATTGGAAAAGATGAACAGAAGGCATTCGAAGAAGGTATTGGAGTTGAAAAGGATGAACAGAAGGCATTCGACGAAGGTATTGGAGTTGAAAAGGATGAACAGAAAGCATTCAATGAAGGAGTTGGTGTTGGAAAGGATGGACAGAATAGAGTTAATACTTGGATCCGGATTTAATTATTTATACCCAGATTTAATTGTTAGATTCAGATTTAACAGTTTGACCGGATTTAATTGTAAGATCTGGATTTACAATGATATTTAATATTGTTACAATATATCTGAAACAGATTTGTGAGTGGACTGAGGCAATGTGCCTGCATATTTAAATCTCGATTTTACATCTATATCCGGATCTAATGGCTAAACCCGGATATAAATGATTAAATCCAGATCCAAGTGTTAACTCTAGAACAGAATGTATTTGACATGGGAATTGGAGTTAAGGATGAAAATAAGGCATTCATTTATTTTCAAGAATCTGTAGTGATAGAAATGTTAATAGAATGCATAACTTAGATAAGAAATTTTTATTAATTTAATCGAATTGGAGATGAAAAGATGAATATAAGCATTGATCTATTATTACAAATTGGCGGAGATGTGTAATGTTAGTAGAGATTTGGAATTGGAAAGAATAAATATAAGGATTTGAATTTTTATTTTTATTTTTTTAATGTAATGTATAGAAATATTATATTTTTATTGTAATTTTTTAAATAAAAGTATTTTTATTAATAAAAAAAAAATAATGAGTATTTTAACTCTTACCGGAGGTAAAATTTACCAGAGTGCTATATCTCAGAAATATACTAAGTAAATAGGATCAGGTATTTTAAGTAAAAATGTTCAGAATCCGAAAACCTTACAAAAACTAAAACCAGGATCTTATATCAAATTTACATGATGTTATATAAAACTCTTTTCTATCTTAAAACTGTATCCTAACTCTAAAAATTCTTAGGCCAGTGAATTTTACTACTAGTAAATATTAAATTAATTCTTAAATTAATTTTTATATAATTGTACAAAAAATATTTTCTTAATTTTTTTAAATACCTTAATTTATACTTCTTTTTTAGATTTTGGAATTTGAGGTATTGAACAATAATCATCTTGTTTTAATGGATTTTGTATATGTTTTCTTACTTCTTCATAAAGATACCATTGTCGCATAGCAGATAATCCTGGTGATTTTTTTATTGTAGAAAATGAATCTATAGTTGGTTGTAATTGATTATGTCGAATTAAATTAATTTTTTGTTCAGCTTCATTAATTGAAGATTTAATAATAACATGTCCAATATTATCTTGACTAAAATAAAAGTGATGCTGTTTTAAAATTTGAGGAACTGTATCAAAATAATTATTTAAAAATTCTGTTCAATTAAAAAAAGTTACTTTGCGTTGATTATTTTCTACAACTAATTGAGGTATATTATAATTATTTGTTGTAGAATTTCTAACAACTTGTACTAAATCATCTAAATTATCAACTTCAGAATTTTGTAATTTTAATTTTAATAGCCCAAAAAATCCATCTGGGGAAAATTTAGTATGTCCAGCAACCATAAATGAATAAGTAATAGTTGAATGTAATTTCATCATTATTCTCCATGTTAAATATTTAATTATTGCATTGTTTTTATTTTGTCCTGCACAATTATCAGCATGTATAATTATATGTTTTTCTCCAAGCCCATGATTTTCAAAATAATTATGAACTAATGAAATTACAGTATCTGCTCCTTTTCCAACCATTTCTTTTTCTTCAATTAAATAATTAATCTTAAATATTAAATATTTTAATTAATTAAAAATTATATTATACTATAATATTTTTATTTTAAATAATTACCTGACAAGGAAAAGCATCTTCACATATTCCAAATACTGCAACTTTATAAAGTGATTTAAAATATATAGCACCCTTTAAAAATATAAAATATTTTTAAAATTATAATAAATAAAAAACAATTAATATTATATTAAAAATTACTTCTTGTTGTGAAGAATAAGGTAATTGAATGCTTTCTGCAAAGTCCCAAGAAATATGATTTGTAATATCAATACTATTAGAAATTCCAGGTCGTAAAAATGAAAAAATATTAGATATACTAAGTTTAGTATTTAAAATACATTTTCTATTAAATTAAAATTAAAATTATTAATATTGATTAAAATATAAAATTTAATTAAAAATAAAAATTAAAAAATTTACCTATAATATTCTCTTTCTAAATTTGCCCAATCATTATGAATTTTCCATTCATTTATTGTTTGTTCTAATTTTGATTCAGGAATATGACTAATATTAAATCGCATTGTTTTACATTTCATACATAAATCACTTCTAGGAGAAAGAAATTTAATTTCAGGAAGATATAATTTCCAAATATTAATAAAACTAGTTGAGCTAATTATATAATCAGAGTTTTCAATAATTGAAGACTTATATAAACGAAATAAACTTAAATAGCTTTCAGTTGCTGGAAGAAAAATTATAATTTTTGTTTCCTTTTCAAAATGTCAACCTAAAATAATAAAGTTGATATTAATATTAATTTAATAAATAATTATAAAAATTTAAGTTTTATACCAGGAGAAGGAAGTCCATGAATATTTGCATAATTTGAAATAAAAGTTAAAATATGTAAAATATTATTAAAAGAAATTTTGTTATTACTGTTTTGATTTTTAAGTCCATGAGATATTGGCAAAATATCATGTTCAAGAAAATGTTTACGAATTGATTCCCATTTCCAATTAGTTATATCATATATTAATAAAAAAGCTTTTAAACAAATTTTTTCACCATCAAATCTATATTCATTAGTTTAATATTTTTTATCTTTTTCATATTCTGTAGTATTTTCTTTTCTAGTTAAAGCATTAAGTGTAGCTAATAATAGCATATTTTTTTCAGCTTTTGATAAAAGTTGAACATTTTTCCATTTTTTTATAGTTACTTCACGATTAATTTTTTTAGTACAATTCCAAGTTAAACAGCAATTAAAAGTATCAAACTTAAGACAAAATGCTTCAATATCTTGTTGTGTTAGTATTTTGTTATTTTTAGAATCATTATCAATTAATTTAGTTTCTACTTTTTGATTATATTTTTTATAAAAATTGATAATTTGAGTTTTAGAAAAAATATTACTTTCAATATTTTTTAACTGTTCATCTGCTAAAATATCAATTTCTTGCTCTTCTTCTATTAAATTAATTTTATCTTCTTCAATATCTCCTGAATATGTAGACTGATAGATATTTTGTATAGCTAAAATACTAGTATTTAACGAATCTAATTCTGGATGAGTTTCGGTAAAAACACTATTAAAAAGAAAATGAGCCATATTGAAATTTGAAATTACTATGTATAATTATATCTTAGTTTTATACAATTTTTATAAATGTGGATATTATAAAATTAATTAAATAAACTTTAATATAAAATACTTTATTATTTAAAAAAACAATACAAAATATATAAATTATAAAAACTATTGTTATATATAAAGTTTATTACTATAAAAATTCATATATCATAAATTAAATCTGGTTACAAACTATAAAAATCTTTATTAAAAAATGCAAGTTTTTTTAAATAGCTAGACTGTAACAAATGCTTTAAATTTTTCTTTTTATGATATAACCTCTGGGTATGAATTAGACTCTGATCTACTAAAGAGTATATAATTGGCAGAATAAAACAAACCCGGGTCTTGTATATAAACTTTTATAGTACTATTTTGAATAGTATAATTGTAAAATATTATAAATTCTTTATATTAGTATTGTTAAAACAATAGTTATATTAAGAATTCATAAAATTTTCTAATTGTGCTAATTTAAAATCAAAAAATGCTAATTCAAAAGCAACAAGCCATTGTTCTGTATAAGATAGTTTCTGCTTTGACTACAGAATTTTATAAACTTTGCATATTATATTTACTATTGTCTTTACGATGGTTATAAACTCTGCATATTTATCATTGTCTTCATCGTGAAGACAATAGTAAATATGAAGAGTTTATAACCATTGTGAAATATGCAAAGTTTATAACCATCATAAAGACAATGGTAAATATGCAGAGTTTATAACCATCATGAAGACAATAGTAAATATGCAGAGTTTATAATCATTGTGAAAACAATGGTAAATATGCAGAGTTTATAACGATGGTTATAAACTCTGCATATTTACTATTGTCTTTACATTGGTATTACCAAATTCATTGTTACATACTTACTGTAAATAATATGGCCAGGACGGCCCCCAAAGTGCGGGTCACAAGTCTGCCAAGCTAAATAGAAAAATCATGTAAATGAAATGCAAGAACAAAAGTTAAGTTTTTGCATTAGATATTTGTATAGCATATGATATTATCATGCAGACAAAATGTTAGATAATTTTTGCCTTTACGCAATTCCAGCATTTCGGGATTCCATCAACTCACCAACAATCACTTCGTAGACACCACATTTCACTAACCCTTGTTTATCGAAAAGTTCATTTCACTGACAGTTTATTTCACCGAAGCTCATTTTACAGACAAAGTAATTCTGGTCAATATCATTAGAGTTAGGTTAGAACTAGAGTTAAAGCTAGTGTAATTTATAAAAAAAAAACTTGTCAGTGAAATGAACTTCGGTGAGATAGACTGTTGGTAAAATGAACTTGCCGATGAATAATTGTCTGTGAAATGTGGTGTCTATGAAGTGATAGTCGGTGAAACAATACGGACCCCTCATTCCAGTTTTGCTTACTTCACTGACACTGCAAATCCACAGACAAGTTCACATAATAGACAGTTTATTTTACCTATAAGCTCATTTTGTAGACTTTTTTTAGGGTTAGTTTAGAATTAGAGCTAAGGTTAATGTAATTTATAAGAAAAAAACATTTTCGTGAATGGTGAAAAACTGGCTACAAAATGAACTTGCTGGTAAAATAAACTGTCTATTAAATAAACTTGTATGCGAATAGATTGTAAAATAAACATGTTGGTAAATTGTTTGCTGTGAGTATAAAGATGATTTATTCATTGAAAATAAAAATATAAAGCTGATACCGAAGCAAATATCAAGGAAGCAGAGATTTGAGAATAATATAAAAATATTTCTTTTGTAGTCAAAAAAGTTAGTTAGTTTCTCAGTGGGAGCGTTCACAATACTTATAAATTGGGTCGTCGGTTGCCGATGTATCCACCAGCGAACGCCTCTACTCAAAAGTTAATTAGTAAAATTAAGAGGCTCTCAGAAATTTTCACAACAATTATAAATCCTTAGTTTTTTTTATCAAGCAAAAAATTTTCATATGAACCTAATAAGCGTTGAAGAAGTCGCAGGTAGACTACCAGTATCTAAGGCTGATGAAGTAATAAATCAACTTCTTGGCGAACAACTAGAAATCTATGAATTAGAAAAGCAATTAAAAAATTTACAACTTCAAGAAAATCAAACTGGTTATCAAAAAGTTAAATAAAAACTAAGCATAAGCCGGCTCCATTGCCATTCTTTTTGGCAAACTTCTTTCTCGGGTAGGAAAATCAAAAATAATCCGTTTGTAAAGAGCAATCAGTTTAACTTCAGCATTTAACTTAGCCCGGGGTTTTATATAAAATGCCAATTCAAAAATACTTATCTCTAAAGCTTATTTATGATTAATTACCCCCCAATGGGTCCGTATTGTTTCATCAACAATCACTTCATAGACACCACATTTCACAGACAATTATTCATCGACAAATTCATTTTATTGACAGTCTATTTCACCGAAGCTCATTTCACTGGCAAGTTTTTTTTTTATAAATTACACTACTTTAACTCTAGTTCTAACCTAACTCTAATGATATTAACCAGAATTACTTGTCTGTAAAATGAGCTTCAGTGAAATGAAATAAACTTGTCGGTAAGTAATTGTCAGTGAAATGTGGTGTCTATGAAGTTATTGTCGGTGAGTTGATGGGATCCCGGGTTTGGGTTTTTAGTAATATTTACTTTTTTTTTTTTTTTTAGTGGGAGCACTAAGGTTTTGTCAGTTTAAGTTTTGGGTTTCAACTTTCATCATAAGGATTTAAGGGTTTCGAGGTTTCAACTTTCGACAGAGGTTTCGTCATCTAGAGCTTAGGTTTCGACTTTCATCATCAAGCAAAAAAGGTTTCGTCTAACAACTATAGGTATAATATAATCAATTGAAAATAAGTATTTAGAGATAAGTATTTATGAACTAGTATTTTATGTTCATGTTTTATACTTACATATTAAATTAATACGAATGAGTGATATGTATTTATGGATTAATTTTACCGATTAACGATATTCACAGATTAAATCAATGCGAATAAGAAGGTATTGGGTAAGGGATCCATCAACTCACCGACAATAACTTCGTAGACACCACATTTCACTGACAATTACTTACTGACAAGTTTATTTCATTTCACCAAAGCTCATTTTAAAGACAAAGTAATTCTGGTTAATATCATTAGAGTTAGGTTAGAACTTGAGTTAAAGTTAGTGTAATTTATAAAAAAAAAACTTGTCAGTGAAATGAGCTTCGGTGAAATAGACTGTCGGTAAAATGAATTTGTCGATGAATAATTGTCTGTGAAATGTGGTGTCTATGAAGTGATTGTTGATGAAACAATACGGACCCTATAGTAATTATTATATCCTATACGATCATTTTCAAAGTAAAAACCCCAAATTATTTGTAATCTGGGATTTGGTATTTACGACGTTGGATACTTGGGAGCCTAGTATAAAATAAATAAAATATGCAGATATTCTTAGAAGATTAGAGGTTATAGAAACAAATTATAACACACTATCGTAACTTTCATTTCTTTTTGTTTTGATTCCATGCCGGGAGGATTATAATCCGCACTCTATTTCCTTTTAGAAGTTTATAAAGAAAGTACTTCGTATTATTGGTTAATGTTAATGTACTTTTGAGAACATAACGTTTCACTAATAAAAAATCACTATAAAAAGTTATTAATAACTTCAACTATTTGTTGATATAATGTACTAGCTTTACCTGATATATAAGTTCTAGCCAAAAGTCGATCAACTTTAAAAAGACTACAAGTAAATTCTAAACCTTGAAAAGCTTTACAGTATATACTGTTATTTTAATAAACACCTTATGCTATAACGTTCCATTTTTAATAGTATATTTTAGAAGCAATCTATAGATCTACAGATCTGATAATCCTGTTTAAACAGGTTTGTTAATCTCGAATAAACTATTTTTAGATTGTTTTGATTTTGTGTAACAAAATAGTTTTTGCCGATTTTCTCAAAACCCGTGATCGGACAAATTCCCTGGTTTCTACTTTTGGGGCCCCATATGATAGTAGCAAACTTCATATTTAAACAACTAGAACTTATAATTATAATGATATATATGCCACCTAACAACAAAGAAGAACAGAGAAAAATCTAAAGAGCAATTATAGAAAAATATATCAAAAGAACTTACCAGACACAAATAGTAATTATAGGTGATTTAAACTGTATTGTTGATCCAGAGCTAGATAGATCTAGTATTCTAAAATACAGCTCTTTTAAAAAAGAACTGATTATAAAATAGCTAATCAGTCAGGATTTCAAAGACTCTTTTAGAATAGAAAATTCAAGAAGTAAAGAATTTTCATAGACAAATAGAGAATCCAGTACAAGAATTGACCAAATTTGGATGACAGAAGAGCTTGCAAGTGAACTTATCAATGCAAAGATTCAAGATATGTTTAATTGCACAAATAGTAATTATAGTGCAGCAGTCACAAGATTGGAATTAAATCACATAACTGCATGGCACAAAGTGTCAAAACTCAAGAAGTTAGAATAATATCAAACAATTTTTTATAAGAAAAAGCAGCAAAAGAGGATTGAGAAAAATATAGAGAAGAGTTAGACAGAATGCTTAAAAATAAAAACCTAGCACAAAGAATAGAGAAAATTAGATTAGAATATACAGAAATGTTCAAGAAAGATTAGATGAAATATAGGAAGTTATAAGCAAAAGTATATTAGAAGTAGCAAGAAAGTCATTACCAAAAAAAAAAGTTCTAAATACTACTAGAAACAAAAAAAAACAATAAAACAAGAAAATCTAAGCTGACTAAAGCATTATCACAACTAGAAAGATGGATCAGCTTAGAAAAGAAAAATGTCAAATTAGGTTTAATTTCTGAAAATATAAAAGACTTTAATATTATAGTAAAATATATAAATGAACAACATAAAACTAGCATAAAAAAAATTACAGAGATATGGACAGAAGAAATAATCTCAGATATACGTGACTGGTGAAAAATTCTGTATAAAAGAAGAGCAAAAGAGATAGAAAAACAAAGACTAAAAGAAATAGAGCAAAACATCAAAAAAAGATGCCAGATGATCAATGACAAGCAAAGAAGAATATTAATGAGCCTATTGGACAAACCATTAAATAAAATAAGAATAGACAGATTTGTTAAGCTAGAGGACTTGAATAGGAAGATGATAACAAACCCACAAGAAGTGCTTGAAAAAACCAAAAAGCATTTCTAGCAATGATTCAGAATAAAAACTTTTAAAGCCAGAAGATTAGAAACAGGTAGGAGAATATATATCAGCCAAAAGAGAAAATTAACAAAATCTGGTATAAACAGCTAAATCAAGATATTACAGAAGAAGAATAGCTAGAAATGTTATTAGAACTTAAAAATAATACAGCTCCAGGTGTGTTAGGAATTACCTATATGTTAATCAAGGCAGCTAGCAAGCAGACTCAAGACATCTTCAGAAAACTGACAGAAATATATATTAAAACAGAGTTAATTCTCAAAAAATGGAAAATATTACAAATTTATCCAATACCAAAAGACTTAGACTGGCAATATAATTTAAGCAATGTAAAACTAATAGCATTGCTAGAAACCTTGCAAAAATGTATAACCAAAATATTTACTAAGATTAATGCAAATATTTTGTAAGAAAAATATATTAAAAGAACTAAACTTTGCAGAACTACTAGGCAGATCAACAGAAGAGCCAGTACACATTATTAATGCAATAATAGAAGATGCAAAGAATAACAAAAAAGAACTTTGGCTAGTGTTTCAAGATATGAAAAAGGCCTTTGATTCAGTATCATTAGTAGCACTAGATTTAGTACTCAAAAGACTCAAAATACCAAAAATAGCAAGTACTTTCATTTTAAATTTGTTTGAAAATCGACAATCCAAAATTATTACAAACTTAGAAACAACAGAAGCCTTTGAGATTAAAAATGATATCAAGCAAGGTGAAGTAATTTCACCTTTAGTTTAAAGAATTTTCTATGACCCATTACTAGAAAGAATCCAAAGTGATCCAAGTCTAGGCTATACATTGTATACTTCATACAATAATAGTATAAAGAATATGATACAAAAAGTTAAAAAATGGAAACAAGCTGTAGTAGCATATGCAGACAATACAACATGAGTTGCATCAAGTAAAAAGCAAATAGAAAAAATTATCGAAATAGCAGAAGACTTTTTTAACTTAAATGATATACAAATTAATGGAAAAAAAACAAACTTATTACAATAAACACCAAAGAAGAAAAGAAAAATAGAACAATCTTTTTTGACAAAGAGTAGATCTAAAAGGAAAGTGAAAATAAAATTATATGATTTTTAGAAATTTGGCTAAATTGCAAACTTAAAGAATCAACAATAAAGTCAAAAGCTAAAGAAATAGTATGAACATTTGTAAGAGGTCTAAATCCAAAAAAGCTAATGATTAGCCAAATATTATATATTAACAACATGTGCATTATATCCAAATTAACCTATATACTACAAATAACAAGATTATCAAAAAACACATTAATCAACATACATGTACTAATAATTAGTCTTGCAAAAAAAAAAAAAAAGTCATACGATCTGTAAGAAATAACATGATGTATTACAAAAACTTGAATAACCTTAACTCACTATGGGATTAGTTACTGCTTAAGCAAATTACTAGTTTACATAATTGACTCAATATAGCAGGCCTAGAAGAAGCAGTAACCAATATAAGAATAGAAGATAGTTTTCATTTAATAGAAGCATCTAAAAACATATGACAAGAAAATATTCCAGAAGCAAGCACAAAGCTATAGAAAAACAATCTGGTATGCTTAACAATGCTAAGAGCAAAAGAACTGCAATTAGTTTTGAACTTTAATTATGAAAACCCAAACTTTAATAAGGAAAGCACAAAAATATATGAAATTTTAGAAAGAAATTTTATACCAATTATCACACATAGATTAAAAGAGTTAGGTATTATGTTTGTGCATTAGTTAATAGACAAAGAAAAAAACAAAATGATTACATGGCAGCAATTAAGTTTTCTAAAAAGAGGTAATGCTAAAGGTAAACCAGCAAAGTAGTTCAAAGTTCTAAAAATGAAAATAATAGAAGAGCCAAGCTGAAGAATA